GGAGATAGATAAAGATAGATAGATAGATAGATAGATAGATAGATAGATAGATAGATAGATAGATATAGATAGATAGATAGATGCAAATTGCCCTTGTCCACTCTGTTTCCCCATCAAACAAAACCACATTAAATTTCAAATCATACTTGGAGCTGCTTTGCCCAACCATAATTCACTGTGACTTAACACTCAACGGGGAGAAGCAGCTTCAGTAGATGAACAAGTCCCAAACATTCAGTGAAAATACTGTTAACTAATTGGGTTTGGAGCACAAGCTTCTTCTTAACGGTAATTTTAAAAGTTACCCTTTTGAAACAGTCCACCCAAATCCTAGCCCTGCACCCTTACAATCACACTATATAGGGATGTCGTATTTTGCTTTATTTAAAAAAAAAATACAAAACAGTATTAACAGGTATACAGTTGTACGTATATAAAGTCTAGAGTTTTATTACTGTACAGTGTTACAATCAGAGAAGAGTTGCAGCCCCAGATTGGCATTGGGGTGGAGGGTGGGGGGTCCTGTTTTTCTTAAGTCTAAACTACATTTCAAACCTTGCCTGCGAAGGAAGAGCAAAGGGTTGATGAGCAGCAAACATCAAAATGATAGCAGAAAAGGGGTGGAGAGAAGGAGATTAACCATCATGTTAGTGTCAAGGGAACTTCCATTCTTGGAGGTTAGGGAGCTTCTGAGCTCTCTAATAATGATGGATGAATCGGTATTAATCCTGGTACAAGCTTGTAGTGCAAAGACGTTCCTTTGGTTAAATAGATCATCCACTCACCCCCAGGGTCTCCCTTTCCTTAAACCATTACTTTTAACTCTTATGCCAAGTAAACACATGCATATCTGAGGCAAAGAAGACGTGGATTCAACCACCATCTTTTAAAGTACCAAAGCAAGGATTGTTAGCAGATCTGCTTTTCCCATACATTTGTCAGATTTATGGATCTGTCACATCTATAAAACAGGTTCGCTGAAAACCAGTCAGCTGTGCAGCTTCTCTGTGTGTTTACGGGAACTCTGGCAGTGTTCATCCAGATCCCAAGGCAGGATTCACAGCCTGGACCAAGGGTTGTCCAACCTTGGTTACTTTTAAGACTTGTGGACTTCAACTTGTGGCAACTGGGGAATTCTGGGAGTTGAAGTCCACAAGTCTTAAAGCCGTCAAGGTTGGAAAAACACTGGCCCGGCTCTAATGGGAACATGAATTCCCTGGCATTTTAAAAATGCTCCCGCTGGGCTTCAGAGTGAGATATACTCTGCGGGGAAAACCTTGCCTACTTTTTCCCAGGAAATGTTCTGACAGGTTTGTACACCTCTCGCTTTCAAAAACTGCCCGGGGCTTAAAATGCACCAGTGCCGTCAAGAGAGAAATGTGTACTTTCCTGCCTTCCATCAAGGCAGGATCCATACGCCACCAATCAACGGGTTGCGTCCTGCTGCTGTGAGGCACCTCATTTTCACTGACTGTCGCGTCAGAAAAGATTAGACTGAGGTAAAAATTGACAGCTGAGGCCCAACAGAGCCTTTGCGCAGACGTGCTTGAAACCCACAGCCCTTCTAGAGGCCAGTAGATAGGTCACTGTTGAGAACTGGCTACTCACACAGCACCCAATAGCCCTAACTAGGCCACCAACACAGGTACACAGTACAATACAGAGGAATGAGCCAAATCCCTCCCAAGGGATGTTTTTCACAACCTCCATCAATAGGCTTTGGACTCTTGGAACAAGGTTAGTAAAGAGGGCTTCTTAGGTGGATGGAAAGAGAAGACCTTTGACAAAACAAAGGAACTGTGTTACTAGCCGTTGTTTAATGGAACTGTCCATTGCTGGCACTCTTCCTTCACAACCAGTTGCCTAATGCCCGCCTGTGGAAAAAGCTGTTTACAAAGCTGAACAGCAATCCCAGCAAATGACCGTTATCTATTTTTTTGGGGGGGGGAGGACAACTGGTGGGAGGGGGGCTGCTTCCAATGCTGAGAGGCACAGAAAAGCCTGCCCTGTATTAGCAGGGTCCTCTCACATCCCCGTTGCTTGTGAGAAAACAGGCGAGGCAGGTGGGAGAGCTCTCCGCAGGACAACAGAATTTATTCCACATATTTATATTTTAACAACTCGGTGGCCAGAGCGAGAAACTTTGTACACAATTGCTCAACTGGCCATTACAAAAAGCCATTGAGATGGAGAGAGAGAGAGAGAGAGAGAGAGAGAGAGAGAGAGAAAGCCCCTGGAAGGTCCTACTACAAAATATTCAAGTTTAACCAGTGGGAGAAAGTTATGAATTTTTTCCCCCCATCACCTCTCCCTCCTAATTTGAGTAACAGCCCTTTGAAAACGGGATCAATGCCAAACACGATTCTGCCTCTTTCTCCTCGTTTGCAGAAAGCAGAACCGAACAGCTTTCAAGCCAGAAAGGCTAAAATCCTACCCCAGGCCAAAGGCAGAAGCAGCTAGTTTGAATAACTCCTGAGCAGGGAAGGATAGAGGGTCAGAGGGGAGCTTTGGCCCCCTCAGTAGTATCAATGAAATGCCACCAGCAGCCCAGACCAAGCCATCTAGACCGTCTCCTGCAGTTGGGTAGCAGCTTTTCACTTGGGAGAGTCTGGCCGCTTACAGTCGAGACCTGAGCAGGAAAAGGCTGCTGGAGCTAGGGCCGAAATCCCTAACTTCCTATATAGCTTTATTTCTCTGCCAATGATCTCCTCCGCAATGCAGATCTCTCCCTTTTCCTGTGTTTCTGTACACCGTCTCTCAGCCAGGCTCCTTCCACCTGGGCAACTCTGCTCCTAGCTTCCCTCCCTCGACTGAAGCCAGCATGGTGTCATCATCTCTTCGCCTTCCTATCTTGACAGACCAGGGTCCGTGACCGTCTTCTCTGTCATTCCTGTATAGCCCAAGACCAATCGCCAGACCCCAAAATTAAATTAAAAAAGCGTAAATTAAAGCTAGCTTTTTAAAAGTCCATAAATAGGAAGAGGGAATAGTGGAACTCAGTGCCTCTTGAAATCACTCCCATCTTCTTCTACGATGAGACGATTTCCAAATCTTTCCCCACCATGGGGATGGCTGACCTTCCTTTGGGCCACAATGCGTTTTGCCTCAACTACAACGCCTGGCATGCAGACACGGCCCGTCCTTTTGCCAGCGGAAGGAGCTACTTGCTCCCAGTTCCTCGGGACACCTGTGGGCCGAGAGGGGGAAAAGTCTGGGAAGGGTCTGCTGTTGGCTACAGGTGTGTCTCTGCAGGCTTCATTATTGCCCTGTGACAAAAATGCAAAGGAGAACAGCAGCAGCAGCAGCAGCAGCAGTGTGCAGGTGGATCATCGCTTCACTTTAGCATCTTCTTTGATCTTCCAGATCATCAGCTCCATGCAGGCTCGGGCATCCTCACTGGAGTCATGACCTTCCACTGTGAGCAACCAGAAAAATAAGAAGCCATTCATTTACTTGTTTCGTGGGTTTATAGGTCCACCTAACTTGAATGGTGGCACTCCGTGTAGGGTACAGCAGAAAACAAGCAAAACCCCAAAATAAACATGTAACATTAAAAAGCACGCCTGATATGGAAAATGGCACCAAACACAATAGTAAAAGGAGCAAAGGGGAACTCCATTCAACCAGACTCAAATACCTGGGGGGGGGGACATATTTTAACAGCTTTTCTGAAAGGGTGAGGTCTTTGAGTCTCTGCCATATGGGAGGGAGGGGGAATTAGCTATTACACTGGGGTGCCCAACTGGCTCCCAAGTTAAGAAGACTAACATATTAGGTAGACTTTAAAAATCTATTAATTGTTTTCCAAAATGCAGCAAATTGCGGCAATGGTTAAGTGAATCACTGACCTTGTTAACTGAACAACACAGTAGGTAAGAGAACACAGGGATTGTTAAGCGAATCCGTTGTCCACAATGGGCATTTTTTGCTGGAAACTGGAAACAAACCCTGGTTTTCAGCAAAAAATACTGTAAGTTGCAGTCAGGTGATCGCAGGACACTGCAAATGACCATCAATGGCAATAGCACATAGACTTATATACCACTTCACAGTGCTGTCAACCCTGAAGCTGGCCTGACTGAGGCCATTTTGAGGCTTCAGTGTGACCACACTGGAGCTGAGGGATAGAGAGGGGGGAATAGAGACAACTGGGGTTTTGTAGCCAGAACAAAATACTTTCACCTGGGAACCAAGGACATTCCCACAGGTACAGGAGAGAGGAGGAATGAAGTTACCAGGCAACCGGACTGCAACGATGGACCATGTGATTGATTTTTTGGGGACAGGAGAAAACATTTACTTTTAATTAGGTGAAAACCACGAGAACATTCAGTCTCGGTTTTCAATAGCCTGTGCCAATATGATATATCCAATAAATGTATTCTTTGAGGAATTAGCCTGCCTCGGAGTTTTGTTTGCTATGGGAATATTACATTGCAATGGCAAACCTTTTTGTTGTTGGGTGCCAAAAATGCGAGGGCATGCACCCATAATGCAAAGCACACCCCCACATGCGCATGCATGCACACCACCACCCCTCATGATCCCTCCCCCATGTGCACTGCACTGCTCGCCTCCAATCTGAGCTTGCTATTGCCTTCGGGGGGGGGGGCTGGGGAACGCCATTTTCACACTCCCCAGGCTCCAGGAAAGCCCTCTGTCTGGCACACGTATGTGTGTTGGAATTGACAGCTGACAGCTTGCATGCTGGCAGATAGGGCTCCATAGGTTTGCCATCACAGGTACATTACTTGGAACCCTGACAAGTGCTTCATAACCCTCTCTATGCTGAAAAAGTTGTTCTCAAGGTATTGTGATAAATTCAATAAAAAGAAGGGAATTCTTGATGAACTTAAGAAGAAATGAGGGTATTGGATA